GAAGCAATCACTAGTGGAGTGATTCAAGGGAGTGTTCTTGGTCCACTTCTTTTTCTAATTTATATTAACGATATATTCCAGAGAATAAGAAATGGTGTTGCATTTATCTTTGCTGATGACATTAACTTGTCTACTCACAACCACGTGCAAATACTCAGGAAGCCGTACGTCTCATTCAGAATGACCTATCCGCCCTTGACTCCTGGTGCCAACTGTGGCAGATGTCATTTGCCGTGGACACGTGTAATATTTTGTCGTACAAATGCCAAGTACCGCCAGACAGTTTATTACTACAAGGTGCTTATATCTCGCAATGCAGGACAATTCGCGACTTGGGCGTGCGTTATTCAGTTACGTTTAACTTTTCTGAACACTGAACACCGACCATTATATGCGCGTAGCCCGGGCAGAGTGAGGACTTACGGTCAGCTGTCGTTGCCTTTCAATATCTCTAGTGGTGTGAGGCATGGATGCCCGCTGTCACCTTTCCTCTTCAGCTTAGCTATTGACGAAGTCATGGAAATCGCGTTTACAGGACACGACTTAGAAGGTGTGGAGCTACTCCCAGGAGAACAACTTCTTGACTTGGAGTATGCTGATGATATTGCCCTAATCTTTGACATCTCACAAAGGTGCCAAACTGCGCTGGACAGCTTAACACTGGCTGTCGGTCACTTCGGGCTTTGCTTCGCACCATGGAAATGCAAAGCGTTCCTCCATGATTGGCCTGAACCGCCCCTCGGTGACTCTTGGTGGGGATCAGCTAGAAGTCGTCCAAAAATTCAACTACCTAGGAAGTTGTATCAGCACCCGTGGGATTGGAGGTGTGATCACGAACCGTATAGCAAAAGCTCGGGGCGCTTTTGCTAACCTTCGCCACTTATGGCGCCGGCGCGACAACACTTTCGCCCTGAAAGGTAGAGTGTACAATGCAGCGGTATGTTCGTCCCTACTGTATGGTTGTGCAACCTGGCCCCTTAGATCAGCGGACATAAAGAGGCTAGTTACGTTAGACCACTGGTGCTTTCCTAATTTGGCTCACATCTTGTGGGAACACCGTGTGAGCAACGAGCGTGCTCGACGCCTTGTTTATGGCACAGGAAAAGGAACTGAACCGCTCAGCAGCGTTATTTCACGCCGCAGGCTCCGTTGGTTGGGCCACCTGTTGCGCATGCCAACCCGCCGGCTCCCGGGACGTGCTTTGTTTTCGCGCCGGGAGTGTGGTTGGAAGAAGAGGAGCGGTGGCCAAGCGATAACTTGGTCGAGAGGAATGAAGGCCCTCACTTCTGAGCTGGCCTCGGTTGGAGGGCCTCGGCTCACTGGTTAGGGTCCGAAAGAGAGTGAACACGTTTGGCTAGATACACTTCTTGATACAGTTAGGAGCCGACTTCATTTTCGTTCGTGCTATGAGTTTCCTTGTCCTTCCCATCCCTCATCACGTCCCCCTCCAACCACGATCTTACTACAGTTTAATATACTTTTGTATAGTAACTTTTTTGCTGCATATTGGCCAGCTGCTAGTTTACCAGAACGATGCCCATCCGTTGTTGGTAGCTCAGCTGACTTGCATCTGTTTCATATTTTCCGTTCTTTTCTTTTATGTATTGCGACACAGTAGCTGACGTGCTTCCCACTTGTTTCTAACGTGTATAATGATGATGCTGATACTAGGATGGCCTCAGCCGAGACAATGGCAACACTAATCACCACAACTGAAGTAATAGCCACTTACTCCCGTTAGCACATGCGTTCAGTCGGACTAACTTTTCTCGTTGTAGCAAGGAGTAAGCGGCATAGCATGGAATAGTGTTCATCAGCACCCTTTGCTATCCTGTTTCATATAATAATAATAATCATAATAATAATAATAATAGTACCACTAATAATGTGTCAGCTGTACGCCGTAACGGCGCTTCGCTGCCGTGCGACCACCACCAGTTGCACGCGGACTGAGTATACCGCGAGGACGCTCATCCCTACGCGGATTTGAATCCGCGCCGCAAGAGTACGAGACAAACACGTTACCTCTAGGCTACGGGCCGACTGTTTCAAGTAATCAGGTGACATCGCAGTGGTGCTGTTGACAAGAGAACAGATGGGCGGAGGCATTGGGAGTGCACAACAATGGGTGCCGCACGCGACTAGACATCTCCCAAAGCGTGCTCGACCTGCGCAGCACGCCACAATGCCACAGGTGAGTCTGGGATTAGAGATCATCCATCTGGCATCTCATGTATCATGCTCGTCTGATATGCTGTTGGCTGATTTCAGATTGGCCACTCGAGAACAGTACGCGCGCAAATGCGGACAGTTTCACTGGCTGCAATTTGATTGTGTTACGAACTACTTTGAATGATCTTGGGAGCTATACTAACGCCTGAACTATAGGAAATGACCTCACGAACCCTATAGCAAAGCTCAAGACGTTTTTGCCATTATCCGCTACCTGTGACGCCCTGCGTGGCAAAGTTTACCACGACTGTCTACCTCTCCTGTACGGTTGTAAAACCTATCCCATCAGATCGACAGACGTTGCTGTTGTTGCAGCTTAGTTCAAGTCTGGTGGGAGCACTGCGTGATTAATGAGTGTGTTCGGAATGACGTATTTGGTGCAGGAAGAGCGACTAAACCGCTCGGCACCTTTATGTCACGCACCAGGCTCCGATGGTTAAGCCACGCTTTCCACATGGTAGCACACCGGTTCCCTCGATGTGCGTTGTTTGCGCGACCTGGGTGTAAACGGAAGAAAAGGCAGGGAGGTTAATCGACGATCTGATCAAAAGGAATGAAAACGTTCACTTCATATTTGGCGTCGGTTGGTGCCTCCCAATTGCCGGGTTGGGTCCCAAATACGATGAACATGTTTGGTTGGACAAACTTGTTGACATGGCGAAGAGCCGACCTCAATGGCATTTGTGTTGTGAGTTTCTTTGTCACTCCTCCTGTCGCTTAGCTTCCCCATCCAATCACGATCACGTTCTCGATGCACAGAATGGCAATTAGCTGTATATTATTAGTTTTTGGTTATTTTGTATTCTGAAATGTTTCTTACTTCGCTGTATAACGGCACAATGGCTGTGGTGTTTCTTACCTTTAGCTAACATGCGGTGCCGACGGTGATCATTTAGGGAGGAACATCCTTTTATTAAGAGGAAATTCCATTGCACTGTGGATGCAGTTGACTGGGAATAAGCATGTTTGCCCTCATAATGCATATCTGGCACCGAAAAGAAATCACAGTGTTATCTGTGCTCTACGATACTTCAACGTGACGAACTGCTGTGCACTTTCGCCATCATTGCTTACGAGTGACACCAGTATATCCGTAGCGATGCGGTGCTTATTACGCGACTGGGAGCAGATGAACAGTTCATTTTCTCGGGTCCACGAATGTTTTCCCAACACGTTGTATTGTCTTCCGCACATAACAACCCACTGCTTACCGAATCTAATATTGATTCTTCATCTGGTCTCGGATTTCGTGTGTTTCGGGGTGTGGAAGGCTAGGGAACAAATGCTATTCGACTGCTAGAATGGATACCACTGTTGGCTGAAGCGCGTTCCACATGCATTCGGCGTAAAAACTCCCAAGTCGTGACTAGTAGCCGATACCAGTTGCGCATTTGCAACCGTCTCCTAGTTTATCCACCCGTTCAAAGATAGTGATCAGTTACCTGCGATAAGTTGGACTATGCTACGGCGTAGCGATAGCTGCAAAGTGGTTGTCTCGCAGATGCAGCACAACAACTGACACTTTATTTACAGAGCACTAGCCTCTTGGTTTTCCTTGTTTTGTCAGGTAATTAGGGCTTTACTTGTATCTCTCCTTATTGTTCCCCATTGTGGCTGCTGCATAGTAGCCGGCAGAGGTCGCTTACCGGAACGATGCCCATCCGTTACCGGTAGCTCAGCTGGCTTGCACCTGTTGCATTTTATTCCCTTTTTCTTTTAGGCATTGCGGCACAGTAGCTGAGGTGTTTTCCACCTCTAGGTAACGTCTGTAATGTGTGTGTGTGTGTTGACCATAGTTGTTTAACAATTGATGCTCATTACTACTAATGCGTCCCTGTTTATTGTGCGTGTGGCAACTGCGATTCCGATGGTGTGTCTTTTCCATGTGTGTGACTCTGGTTATGCGTTTATTGAGCGCAATTCCCACTAACTCGTTACTCAACGTAATTCCCTCGTGTGTGCTTGTGATTTACTTGGACCAGTCTGTCACTAGCACTTCACCACAACCGTAGCCAAGGCTGACAAGACGTAGTCACTGGTCTGCAGGCGGACAGTCTTGCTATCACATCCTAGTAGCAATTGTTACCGGTTGCTTGAGTGTTGAACGATATATGTACACTTCGACTAAGCATCACTAGCTACTTCATTGTCCATACTTGTTATTTTTCATCTTGTTACTCCTAATTTGTTTTTTTCTTTCTTTACTGCAGCTCACTTCTACAATTGCACGGAGCTTCCTATTCTGAATCTAGTCCACATTCCTGACACTGCAGCAGTGATTGCCATACACGCGCTCACACCTTGTGCATCACTGCTAGGATATTTCCACGGTATTCGCTTCCCCACCATCTGCCTTCTCTCCACTTTACTTTACCGAATGGTTACTGCTATCCTTTTTTGATCCTTTTTAATTTTCTTGATTATTTCTCTTACTGTTTTAACACATCGTGTTTGTGCATATATGTGCACATGTGTATCTGCGTTTAGTCCGGTTCTGTTCGACCGGCCTTTATTGCGTTTTTTAACATATCATGCGTTCAACTGTGTCTACTCCGATCCCATCTCGGATCGGATTTTTTGTCTGCAGTCTCGCAGCTCACCAGCCCTAATCGTCTAAACATGCAAGGTTCGTTTTTTCGCAAAAGTAACGGAGTATCATTCTAGAGATTATTTGTACTTTTTCCCGTTTAGTCTATTTGAAATAGACGTTCGACCAATCGGTGTGCTCCAGTGCTCGGTTTTATCATTTTATCACCTATCTGCTCGTACTGTTTTCATACTTGTCCGTGTTACATCGTTCGTAGTTGAAATGAACCAATTGGCAGCAGAATTCAAACCGACTACGGCTTGACGCCTCCTAACTGCTGAATGAACCAAGCATGAAGCCGATGCTAAATGCAGCAACTCCGTACGTACACAGCGCGAGAGGACTGCACGTCCTCATCTCAAAAGGACCTGTACTGACTCATCCGAGAACGAGCACATGTATGGTCGGCCGGTGGCCGCGTGGTCTGCGCGCTTGGTTCGCAACCATAAGGTCGCCGGTTATAATTCGCGTAGGCGTGGGCGTCCTCGCGGTATACTCTGCCCGCGCGCGACTGGTGGTTGCGTGGCAGTGAAGCGCTGTCACAGCGTACAGCTAGCGATTTGTTATTTATTTATAGTACACACTCAAACATAGGGTATAATTACCTCATGACTTTAGCGACGTGGCCTTGCATCATTGTCTTGTGGACTCTGCACGGGTGTTCTTTTGATGGAACATGTGACAGATCGCACTCATAATGGTTTAAACGGAATGCATGATTTTCCCTTGACAGCCCGTAGGGCATTGTTTGGGGTAGTATTAACAAACTCAAGCCTCTTTCTTGCAAAATACTTTTCGATGCGAGCGAACCCTTCTTGTAATTCGTTGCAGTGCACATCCCGATGGCGTGGTTCCTAACCAAGCAGCTTGTGCTCTCTCGATGCGTTACAACGTTTCGCGTACTAATCGCTTAGCGACACCCATTGGAAACTGGAAAAGAACTGCCATTCACCGTGTGCACCGAGATGATGCGGATAGTCGTCCTTCACTCATGATCGCACAGTGCAGTCCATTATGCTCACTGAACTCTGATCTAAGGTATGGTAAATCCAGTCGACATGGCCCATGGGAAGTATACTGCGATCAAACAAACCCAAGACTTTAATTTGAAGGACTTAAAATTGTATGGTCATTGGATCACGAAGGTACATCGGTAGGGTTGCTGGACCTAGTCATAAGTTACTTATTTAGGAAAAATGATTTACTCAGCAAAGGCGAGTCGGTGGAACAGACAGCATCTATCGCACTCACAATCTACTCACTCATTTGAGATATATATATATATATATATATATATATATATATATATATATATATATATATATATATATATATATATATATATATATATAAACATTATGAGGAACATAGAACCAAGGACGCTGCCATCAAAACTGGAAGAAAATATGAACTATAATAGCAAAAGAAAGCAGTTTTATTGAGTGAACGCACGCCATTTTGAGTTTTATGTGTTCGATTAGCCCTTACATAAGAGATGATGAGGCGAAGCAAACTGGCGCCACTGACGTCTGCTATGGGCCATAACATCTACCGTTTCCAACTACTGGGAGTCAGTGTCACGTGGTCCTCACGCTGGAAGGCAGGCCCGTCTGACGGACGCTAATCTTGAGTTTGCCTTCTTCATGCTACTTCACGTCATTGGTAGCCTACATTTTCCAGTCGCTCCGGGAAGCGCAAATGATGCTCGACGGGTAAGGCAACATGCCAGCATGCGCAATATGTGGCCGAGCCAACACATGCGGTGTCGAAGGATAACGTTTTGAAGGTAGGGACTTTTCGCTCCAAGCACTAAGTCTCGGACTTATATGTTGCTTACCTGGTGTTGCTACCACACACATGCAGTCCATCGCAAACAACGGTTGTCAACAAGTTCCGGTCTTTTCACATCCTTCGAGCGCATAAGCCAAGTCCCAGGCGTACGGGAGGACCGCACGGACGGAGGCATTGTAAGCCTTACCCTAGAGCTTGAGACTGACATCACGACGACGTCATAGGTGTCTCTGTTTGATGAGTACAAGGAGAGCCTTTGCGACCCGTTGTGATTCCTCATTTCCAACACCGCCGCCAGCCGTGATGCGACTCCCTAAGTAAGGGAAGTAATTGAGTTGTTCCAGAATGTCCCAGGCACTTGCCAACGCTAAAGTAGTGCTCCACATTTGCTTGGGTGACAAGCTGGTCCTACTTAGATGCTTCCATCCCTAAGCGGTTCAAAGCGTCATGGACATCCTGGGCTTTGTCTCCCAACAAAACGATATCATCAGCGTGATTCAACTTGCGGATCTGTGACCAGGGAGAAGCTCAACACCGCAGCTTTAGGCACTTTCAGACGCTCATTGTACGACATCTTTCATAACAAAATTGATGATTAGAACTTAATTAGGGCGATCTTGGCATCTCCACCACGTACTCTGGTATCTTCCAACCCTCTAAGTGAGCACTTCACATGCGGTCTGACTGCTTTAAGTCCATTCCTGGAAGTTACACCTCACTAGTCGTCCACAACACCGGCAACTCAGAGCCGGGCAACATACTTATCAGTGGTCTCGATTAAAACTCAAGAAGCGACACTCATATGTCCATCTTCTGCAACAAACACGAGCGATGCGACGCAGCTTTCACAACCCCTACTACAACGCCTGCTAAACAATCCAAGTCACTAGCAAGAACTCCCAAACTGGCATTCGCTAATCAGAAACAGGGCGTTAATTCTCATATGGACTAACGTTCCCGAGTAAAAATCTGGCACAATTAAGGGCATGCTGCTAGAAGATCGCAACCAGTGAAATACCATCTGCGATGCAATTGGTATTCGATTGAGCCCATTATGCTCAGACGCTTCATTCGACTTCAGTGCACTACGGTGAATTTCGGTTCCTTCAGGTAATATTGGATGCAACAGAGGAGGCGGAGACCGCCCTAATCTCTGCAGTTCGTCTTTGCAACACATCGAGTGATGGGCGCATACTACCAGTTGTTCCTCGCAATCGTCGCTCAAAAGAAAAAGACAACCAAGGTGGTCCTCCTACGAACGACAACAAGAAGGCAATATTTTTTCACGGTGTCCCCAGCTTCCCGATTCTTTTATCACGAAGCGCAAACACATTACCGAGGCCAGTGGTGCTACATCCACTAAGCACTCTGGACGACGTAATGGGCAACTCCAATCACTGGTGATCTACCGGTTCACCTGCTTTTGTGGAACTAAGTACATTGGACGCACCATCAGGCACTTAGAAGAACGAATCGAGGAACATCTACTGAATTCGCGCATCAATCGATAAGCAGAACTGATTTGGGTGTCATAACTAAGCACCTGATCAATAAAGGGCACCGTGTTGACAAGCGTAATGCCTTCGAAATTCTATACAAGATGCCATCCCACTTAAACCATTAACTAGCAGCAAGGTTGCCACTTACCGCTGAAGCGGTAAGTACATGATTGACAAGACCAAGTCTCTGCATCTAAAAGAAGCTGGCTCACGCGTTGCAACTTCTTTGGCCAACAGCTGCAAGAGGGGAAGCAGGTCCGGCTTAACAACATCACGTGCCTTCTATCGCCTGATTATCTGATACACCTCATGAGAACTGTTTTTGTCTAATCCATGATTTATCTCGGTACTGTCCTATTGACTTGATCTTTAAGTCTATTTTTGTAATAGGCCTGATAGTGAAGGAATTAAAAACAGTTGTTTGCTTTACGCGTCCCGATCGCTTTTTCTTCGAATCTAATAACCAAAATGGGTATTTCACATGAAATTATGGCTAAATTGCTGCCGGGAATTCCTTCATCACCAAACTACAAGGTCTGTGGTCTCCCGGGTAACGACCAACAAAATATTACAAGTTATTTTCCATCTCAGATCAGATGTCTATCTGAACTTGATCCCAGGATATTCTATCCAGAGAATTAATTAGTCACACCTCCAACATTTGGTCCGACCTTCCGAATGGGATACATTTTTTCCGGTACACCAATGCTTGCCTAACACTAACGCAGTTCTATGCTACCATCCACTATGTTACTATACAAAGTGGTCGCGTTTTTCACGGCCCCGAGAATGCAAGAGAACGCTTCTTCACCCAAAAGACACGAAAATTGCTGGCAAAATTTCACAGAACGGGGGACTTTTCAACAATATTGCAAGCGCACGAATAGATAACTAGGATCAAGCATACACATGCGATACAATGAAGGAAATGCTCTGCGAACCGGTAGCAAAACAACCGAAACTCTTCTCTATTCGTCGTCACATTACTAGAAACTGCTCCTCCTCTCTTACGGGACACTTAAATGAACATGGTAGATCCATTAGTGCCTCGCTTGCTATTTGTGAGGTGTTTAGCACCTTCTTTGTTGCCTCCAAGATTTCGGAATTTGGCCCCATATCTGAATGCCTTCAATCCATAACAACCCGAAATAGAACCATTGTCGAAATTTCGCACAGCATCATTCAGCAGCTAATGAAATCCATCAAACCTTCTCTCAGGCTGAACTCTGACGGCATCCTTACAACTGCTATTAAAATGGGAGGGTTACTTACCATTACTTTTGTTGGATATGTTCACTTTATCGCCACCAACTAGCCAGTATCCTGATCATTGGCAAACTTCATTCATTCTCCCACGCCATAAAAGCGGTACCAAGCTAAAGGTTACC